ATTAAAATAATCCTATATAAACGGAATAACGAAAAAAAGACGTAAAATTTAGTTATTAGTTCCTGAAAATTGTGATTTAGTTATCATTACTGTTACTCATTAGTAAAAGTAACTCCGTTACTCATTCGATACTAAAAAAGTAACGAAATTAGTAACTTCGTTGCGTTTTTATGTAACATTAACAACCCTGGTTTTTTGTACCAGTCAAAAATTATACCGTCATTCTTTAAAAGAATAGTAGTGTCTCAAAAATTAATGGTATTACTCCACACATCTATCGTAAACTGCAGTCTCTGGTGAAAAGAGTTGAATTTTTCCAAGATGCTATCCACCTCAGTTGGGGGCGTTAAACATAGTACCTGTAGTAGAAAAGCAAAAGGAATTCAATGGAACTCGATTTTCTAAATCTTGTTGCATGACTGTCAGCAATAATATGTGATAATGGCTTCAATTGAACTCTGAGCTTCATTTCACTTTTAACCCCTTGTAACCAGATACCAAAATTACTTATCCTTCCCATTCATCGTTCCACTATGTTCCGTGCTCCTTTCTCCTACCTCAGTCAAATATTGCAATTCTCTTACTGTGTTAATAAAAACATGTCCCTCTTTGTCCTGCTTTTGTTCTGCTGCCTCGCGTTTCACGCGTCACTCACAGTATTTAAACGAGACTGACATAATTGGTATATGTAGGTGCTTGCGTGTGTGTATGCGTGAGTATGTATATGATTTTAACTATTGTTTCACCACTCATTGTATCGTTGCTTATTCGCGGTTTTTTGTTGCTATAAGGCTTTGTAATAGCAGATTTGCTGACGCCTAACCGCATTTGCAAGCTACTACAGTCTTATCTAACATATTTTATATTTATGTTTATTGCTCTGTTAGCATGTAATGTCTTCCACAGCGTTTTGCAATAAACTAAATTATATTAAAAAAAAAAGTTTTGTTTAACAGATCAATTTTAATGCTTACATTATTATAATGTAAATCTTTATCTGTCGCATTCCATCTAAACGTTGCAATAACAATTTTTACTCTAATATAAAATTACAATAATTTCTTTGTGCCGCATAATCGATCAATATGATTTTTTTAAAGGAATTGAAAACGTGTTTACGTGAACTTGCTATAGTAGACCACACGTTGGAAGTTCACGGAACGCCAAAGGAATACCAAAGGCTACGTAATTGGATAATTCGAATAATAATCGGATGGATTGTATACGTTTTTTATCAGTTTACGTATTATAGTTTTAATATTTCCTTTATTTATTATATAAATAATGAATTAAATTTCATCTTGTTTGTTGTTATGATGTTTACTATGCTTCTGAACAATTATCCGTCAAATGTTATTACCTTAAGTGCTCTGATCTCTGCAGCTATACTAGGGTTAGTATTATACATGTGTATACATTTACTTTGTAAGCTATTTTTGTTGACATTGTGCGTCAAAATCTTTACAGTGTGAAATACATAAAGATCTTTTGGTAAAATATAAAGATTGGAAGTCATGTCCATGACCTTGACAACATATATGTACGTTGTTTCTATTGTCTGTATAAAACATGTATACACAATACCTTGAGTATTAAAAATATACTGAACAACGGATATTAATAGTAAATAATTAATCACTACGTTTTTTATTAAATATTCGTAAGCGATGAACATCTTTAAAAAAACACTGTGAATGTAGTGATGTTGAGTAATGTAATCGAATAAATATATGGTCAGAATTTTCATCTCCAATGAACTTGATCTTGACATATGTCGTCATAAAAAAGTAACGGCAAAAC